AGGATAAGGGCACCACAGAGGGGATACATTCAGCTGCTGGGAGACAGCCATGAGCTCTCCACTGTGAAGTGGCTTTTACTGGCATCACCTATTTGCTCTGACACCTGATGCCCTACAGAGCATAAACATAAAAAGCATCAGAAAAGAAGTCAGGAAAACAGACAGAAGACTGTTACTGGGTTTACATTTTCCAGGCCTGATTTGCAGTGAACAGTTGAATTTTACTGCCAAGGTAAGGCACATGAGATCCAGAGTGAGACCTGGTATTCTTGGCAAATGGAATTAACAGTACCAATGATAGCACGTGGCTTGCACTGGAAGTGGGCAGACAGGGAAAGCATACTGAAAAAGTAATTTGTATTTTCTGAGGGCCCTGGTCCTCAGCTGCAAATTTCAACACTAAATCCATCACTGCTGAGACTTTTGATTAACAAAGAACACCCTCCTGAACAGATAATTTTACTCCTCATAAAAGAAGTCTTACGGTGATGAATCAGGTTTTATATGACGTAGTAGACAAGTGAAATATATCCCACTTAACCCGGGAAGACTCAATCCCCACCTACACTGGATTCTAGATGAACAAAACCCATATGCTGCACTTCTTATAGACCCAATTCTGTTCAGTCACGATACAATTCTATCTGCAATAACTGCAAGTTCTGCCCAAAAAGTGGAACCTAAAATTGATTTCCATTGTGGCAGCATCTTGGTTTCTGAAAGCAGACTGGAGAGATACAAATATCACAGTCTACCTCCATAATGTCACAGCTTTTAGAGCTGGTTACACCTCTTCAAATCCAAAGGTCTGCAGACACAATCAAGGCAAACTCCTCTTCCACCCTTGGCATTTCCTGATCCCAAATGTGATGGAGGCTTTTCCAGCTCCTGAATTTACTGTTCACTTTATTTCTGTTTCAACATAGCATTCATGGCAACCTCTGTTCTAAATCAGACATTGGGAATATGGGGCATAGGAGGTATGGGTATATTCAGCTGCAAGGCAAAAATGATGAAGATTTCTTGATGCCTGTGGTAGCTCTGTGTTGTACTTCAAATGCAAGTGTATCCTCCACCTCTTTCCTTTTTTCCTACAGAGATATATATTGAAATAATTAAAGGAAAGGAATATCTGAGCATTGTTTCTTTCTGCTACAGTCCAAGAACTATAAGCAAATGCACCAGACTTGTTAGTCTTAGCTAGTAGCTAGCTAGTAGTCTGCATGTCCACAGTTAATGCAATACATGTTAAAATGCTCTCAGAGTGTGCAAACATTGAACAGAGATCTGTAACTTCTGAATTTGCTCAAATGCCTTATTAGATTCTTGTTCCAAGCTCAAGTTCACTCTTCCTTACATCTTTTGATAACTGTAGAGGTTGGTAAGGTCGAAAGTTTCCAAAAGTGACTGCTCAGAGCTTTAGAAAAAAACTCCAACAATTAAAATCCATGACAGTTAAAATGGTCACTGTTCAACTGGAAAGATTCAAGCTCTTCATGTATCAATCACAGAAAAAATGAAATCCCTTTCCTATTCCCCACTACAAACCTTCATCCTTGGAGCCTGTGAGCCTGCCAATTGGGATAGGGATTGCAGGCTCCCAGGGCCCCATTCCCCTGCTATATGCTGCAGAAGACCCAGGATAAGGTATTTATCAGCTCTCTCTTGAACATTGTCCCAGCAAACCTAAAAGGGCTGATTTTGTCATCTTTTGTCACTTTTTTTTCAGTCTGAGGCACACAAAGGAACGAGGGCCTGGGCACTTACTGACAGAGCCCAACTTCTCTACAGTCTCAGGAAACACGGCCTTTGCCATCTTCTCTGGGAAACACACAGTGGTTCATATTTACACACTGTAAGTTTGGTGTACATCCATTTAACCAAGCATGCCAACATTATGTATTCATTTGGCCCATGAGGTCTCCTCATTCATAAAAAAGTGAAAACAGACCCCTGGCTACCCAACTGCTCTAATTATTTAAAGACATTTCTGATGCTGGCAAGGGCTACAGCACACATAATTCAGCCTCCCTACCTTTCTCAAAAACTAGACAAACACATCAGTGTATTTTATATAAGCCTTACAGGACACTGGTTATTTTATTTACTTCAGGCCCATTTCAATATAAGTGCTTTAAGCAGCTAAAGCCAAACAATGTTAACCCCCTAGCTGCCTTGCCATCCCAATTATACTTTTAACTTCCCCACTCTGTTCTCTCTGATTTGTTTTTTTCAGGTATAAATGGTTTTTAAGACGAATTTGCCTTAAGTGTAATACTGCATAAGTTAAGATTTTATTTCACGGAGTTTGAAAAATGTGGAAAAACTGCAGAATTTGAGCTCCACTTGTTAGGAGTTAACTCTAACATGTGCAACCATGCTCTCTTTGAACAGAGCCAGCACTGCTAGGCTGTGCATGACATCTTGGGGTGTTGTAAGATTCTGCTCTCTGATTCCTGTGGTAGTACTTGGTTGAAAAGGCTCGAGGGTAAATTACTTGAGAGCAGAAAACTTTTTCCTTTCTGTTTAAGCACCTGGATGGGATTAGATGGGATATAGCTACATGTTGTCTTGCAGAAATCATTTAATTTGTCTGTTTTCTGTCCCTTGTATGCAGAGTCAGGACTGCCTTACTAAGCCCACAGTGATCAGCTGAGAAGATACATTCAGCACTTTCTGTGTAATGATCACAAGCTGGTTAGTTCGGTTTTGGGTCTGAAATATTTCCTACACACAACCTGGAGAGAAAATGATTTCATGGTTTTAGAAGAGTGGCCACGGCCTCATGCCAGACAAAGCACTGTGAGCCTCGAGTCCCAGAAGTGGGAGAAAGATCTGGTATGTGAGAAACTCTTTACTTTCCAATGGGAAAAATTTCCCTAAATTCAGATTTCTCTAAAAATTGTGCAGGCATATCTTGTTTTATAACATACCTGAAGAGTCTTTTCTTTGCCTGTGCCTACAGCAGTAAAGCCAGAAATTCCTCCTGAATTTTGGGGAGAGGAACAGAATGGATTGGGCTGCAGCACATGCCTACTTTACTGGATCTATATGCCTGTCAACCCTTTTGCAGACCTCTTAGAAGCAAGTTATGGTCTTTGAATTCACCATCCTCTGCTCTCACTTAGATTTTGACCTGTTCTGTGAACTCAGTAAAACCTTTCTCTCTTCATCTTTCAACAAAAGTTTGACCTGTTCATGTGAATCACTCCAGAAAGGTTGGCTGTGATCAAAAGCTAATGGACCAAGTCAGTAATGAACTTGGACTGAATTTGGACATGTAAGTGCAAAAAGTGCAAAACTACAGCTTTCTCTGATGATTCCCACACAGTAGCCTCTTTTCAGATCAGGAGCCATACCAGTTGGTGAGCATCAAACCCAAAACATGTGAGTTTATTTGCGTTTCAAAATTGGGGAGGCTTTCCCTGTTTCATTTACCTGTGAATGACTGCACGCAGAGAGAGGGAAGCATGAGGAATCCCACATTTTTGTGTTAGCTGAAATATATGTCCACTAGTTATGTTGTTAAAAATGCTTTGTTAAAAATTGTTGAGTCAGGTTTTGATGAGGATTAGATTAAGTGCAGTGAGCTTCCCTTCAGTAAAGTCATATTTTCAGCTGCTACCACCCAGCTGTTACCCAAAGCAATGGTTTTTAAACAAACACTGTGTGTACCTTGAAAATTCTGCATGACAGATGATCTCAAAATGCAGATTTATTTAAGGGTCTGTGACTAAGGTCCATCAGCAATTGTCTAGTCTTCCAGGTTGCTGCTACCACTGTTTGAAAATACTAAATTTCCTTACTGAGTCTTGTCCAGATTATCTCCTCTATCATACATCTTACATATCTTACATACATCATATCTCTTTCTGCTGTTTTATCTTCCAGAGTGAAGGTAATATCTGAGTTGGTCACTAAGTTTTCTTCAAAAAGTTAAGAACCTTCTCAACTCTCTTTGGTCTCATTGGCTGCTTCAGGGGACAGATAAGAGGTCTGCATTCTTTTGCTTTCAGGCTTTGTTTCAATGGATCGTGATAAATCCTGCTTTAACTAACATGCAAATAAAAATACAATACAGTAATACTTAAAAACCACTACCACAAATACTACTAAGAGTTAGCAGAAAACTCGTGTGGAGGCCTCAGACTAGAAGCAATGGGGAGACATGTGGGAGACATGAACACACACAGATACGGTGCACTTGTCCATCCCCTAGACAATCATGTTCAATACTTTTTGTCTTCAAATTAGTGGCTTCCTGACTGCACAGCCATCACTTTTGCAAACAAGTCTTTCCCTGTGGCAAATCCCAGCACCAAAGTAGAGCCATTCAATATGACCTACCTCATGTTTCTGCTCTTTGTGTTGCCAGCTCTTGGGTGGCTGGAAATTGCCTTTGTCAGGAAAGAGCACAGGCAACGGCACTCAGAAATGTTGTGATAAAAAGAGACAGTCAGTGCCCTCCTCAGTGTTTTGTTTTGATACTCTTCAGTTCCCCATTGCAAATGATAATGAGAGGCTGAATACCCTGAATAATAACAAACCAGATAGTTTTCTTTTTCTGCCCACTCAGTATTTCTGCTCCACAGTTCCTGGGATGCTCATTTCCAGGATGCCAGGTTAGCTCTCAGGCAGCAATGCAGAAACGTGCCACCCAGCTGGCAGCATTCTTGACCCTGAGCCAAGAGTGGATGGAGCCAGCAAGGCTGGGAGAGTAAGGTGGGTGCAGAGTGAACAGGGCTGCACCATTGCAGTGTTTCTGGAAGCAACAAAGCTGTGTTCTCACACCACTGCATTTGAGCAAATTCCTGCCAGGACCATGCTGGCTCTTTGCCCATGGTACAATTTACCCACAAATAAGATAATTCATCCATGGAAAATGAAAAGTGGGTCTATCAGCTGTTTCTTTTGTAAAACTGCCACCCGGCAACAACAACAATGAAGCATGACCTTGGTGTAGGCGCTGTTGCTCTTGCTTTGACGCCTTGTCGACAATATCCCACATGCCAACAGCTACAACCCTCAGCGAGCTGATGCGGGTACCAGAAGCTGAACCTCAGGAGGACTTTTTGCCTGTACCAGTAATCCCAATCATTTGCTGTGTCTGGTTTCTCAGTTCCATCACTCAACACCAGTCCAGCTACTTTGATGCAGTCCTGCTGCGTGCTCTGCAGGTGCCTTTGCCACCCAACCATGGTTTGGTTTTCCAGAAGCTCAGCCTTCAGTCCTCTCACTTGCACTGGTTTGAGATCAAGATTCTTTGGTAACCCACCGACCTGAGACTGTAAAGCAATACAGGCAAATCAACATCTACATAGATTCCCATGGATTTCTGAAAATAAGATGCTTGAATGGAAAGTAAGTGGCTATAGACCAGTGAAGGTCTGTGCCCAAAGATTTTTGCGTATATCTATCAGCATCTGCAGGTAAGGAGTTGTCATGGGGACTTCAGCCTTTCACCAGCACTGGGAAATGACACACAGCCACTTAGCTACAGAACCCCAGTATTTAGATACTTGTCCCCTAGTACCTATAGAACTTGTAGTCTTTACAAGTATATAGACTTTTATAGAATATAGAACCTCTGAACCTGTAGTCCTAAGGTCTTGGTCCTTTTGTTCCTCATTATCTGAATAATTAAACCTCACAAAACCTTATAAAAAGAGTGATGATATTCTAAAATTGTTAACTTGAATTAATAAGACTTGGGGGGGTGAGGGGTGGTGTTTCAGGTTTTTTCAGTAAATCTTCTAGGTAGGGCTATTAATAGATTTGCTGTCTGAAGAGGCTTTCTGCCAGTCCAAATGAATTATGCATCATTATATCTTAGTAACACAGTTGGCATTTGTTGATAAACTTTTGATACTGTACTGCTTATTAATATGCTGATCTGTTGCACAGTTTCTGCAGGTACTGGAGTAGATATTTAGAAGTACCAGGTAATCACTTTCTCTTTGAACTAAATGCATTTAGGGGACTGTTAAATGAGGAATTATATGTCATTCTCAAAAATGTGTGTTTTGAAGTCAATCTCCTGTATTTAGACTAGATTTTTTTTTTTTTTTTCCATCCATAATGATCTTAGATGAAACGGTGTATGTTCACCCACGGATGTTATCTATACACTTCTGAATACCTAGATGGAATTGCAAATTATGGTATACATTCTAGTATCCTGGAATATGATTCCAGCCCTTTCTGTGATAATCTTGTAAATGCTGTGATCTTGATTATCTCAATACATTTTTCTTCTTAAAGGTACCCAAGAAATTTAGGAGATCTGCATACAGATACTTAAAGAAATTAGTCCTTTTGTATATCTCATTTGGCCAGGTCACACTTAACAGTTTATTAGCCTTTGAGAGCATTTTATTAAATTCTCACATCCAGCTCAATCAGAAAGATCCCTCATGCCATACTTCTACTTTGTGCCCAGAGTCGCAGAGTTATTCTGTCACTAATCCTCTGACTTCAGGGAAACTGCTGGGGGAATACGCTGCTATTCACATAAGTAAAGGCATCACAATCTGTCTCTTCAAAAGATATTCTTTCTCTTTAAATCTGATCTGCAACTAACTAATTTGGAAGCTATAATCTTTAAGGCTGTGTGGTTTACTCTCATCTACTAGTTCTAGTCATTCCTTTACAGTGCTGAGCTGCACCGGGAGACTGAAAAAAAAATGAGCCACAACATCAGTTGAGTAAATCTTCACTTCCCAAAAGAGAAAAACTTGACAAATCTGACAGGCTAGAGCAAAAGGAGCATAGAAATCCCTACCAAAAATATGTGGGAGGGAACGTATATTTAAAACAGGACCGCCTAATTCGGCTGCTAAATCAGTGTAAGGAGCTCTGTACGTCTGTGTGTGCGGGAGGGAGAGGGAAAGACAGAGAGAGAGACACAGAGAGGGAGAGAGGAGCAGAGGGAGGGAGGGGGGGAGAGAGAGCAATGTGCCTTTCACAGAGCTCGGAGCTTGATGGGAATGTTTGATTAGCTCCTCTCTGAAAGAAAAAAGGTGTCCAGGCCTCCCTCTGCTGCCCGCCTCTCCTTCTCTAGAATAATGTTGGCTGGAGTTTGGGGTACAGAAAAGCTTGGAAAAAAAACCACTTTCATACTGTGTGGAGAAAAGGAATAAAAAGTTACACACCTCAAGCAAGGTAATTCTGATGTTGTTTTTCTGCTATATTTATTTAGGGGGAGAGGGGGAAGTTGTGTTTTTTGCCTGTTGATAATAGTTAAATATTTTCACTGTTGAGAAACTGTAGGGACATAACGTTTTATTTAGCATTCCAGCTATGTGCTTAGGATCAAAGACCTAAGAAGATGAAGACGTAAATGTAGAATGAAACTGTACTTTACTCATATATACTTCATAAAATATTTATGAAAGCATTAAGCCCCTACTATTAAAGTGGACACATATACTCACTGCCTGAACAGCAAGGGCTTTACTGTGTGATAAAGAGTGGTGTATATAAGCCACACACCAATAGACATTTATTCAAGCCTTCTGTTCAAATAGTTTGTGATAGACAATGTAACTTGTTCCTCAGTTTAAAACTGTTTTGCTTTCAACATTTTTTCACAAAGTCTTTTTGATCAATAGGAAGGTGTGTGTTGTATCATTAATAAACACCACCTGACACTGGGAAACACTAATCTCCAAGGCACAGAATGGAAAATGGTATTATTTCAGTGATGTGTGTTTCTGTGGTGTGAACTCTCTTGGTAATGGATAGATGCAGATGTATGAACGGTACAGTAGCCCAGACTCTATACATCCTTTTGTGCCGAGTGCTTGTTTGGGTGGTGAGGCTCCAAAAATGAATAGCATTGTCAAGCCTGCCACAGCCACTCAGCTCTCTGCAGAGAGATTAGAGTCTTGATAAGTCTCTTCAAAATGCGAATTCTCTCCAACTAGTACAAACATGAACCAAATGCCCCAAGCTAAATATCAACTCTGGTTAATATTTTGTTCCTAGAGTTTATGGTAACTACACCACATTCAGAGCAAAAAGCAAAATTACACATTCCAGAGGCCAGTCCTCCTTAGAGCATACTTTTTTTCTCTAACCTCTCCAAAATTTAAACAAAACATCAAAACAAGAAAACACACACACAGAGAAAATTTTGTTTAGATGTCTTTTAAATTACATTTTACTGAGATGTGGCTGTATATGTTTGTAGTTTGTGTTTTTCTCTATAAATCCTGAAGTTAAAAACACTTTGCATTAATCTACAGTCAAAGAAAATCTATGTTTTTCTGTTTTACCATCTTCTTCAGACTTTGCTCAGTTCATCACTTGAATGACAGTCATGGCAATAAGACTGATCTCTTTCAGAGATGCAAAAATAACTCAAGCAAAAATAATTGCATTACAAACATTAATTTTTAAATACTAAGTATCTTATATTAAACAGACTTATTTTGATTGCATGTTTCATTTAATCCTTTGAGTTGCTAGGGCTATTCTCACTGGGATGACAAAAAGGACTTTGTGTTTTTTAGTTATTCAGGACATATTTTTAAGAAGAAACTTTGAATGTACTGCCAATACTGTGTTTCCACCTGTAATAGTAGTGTTACGTTGTTAACTTGGCCTTCTACCTTTACTTAAGGCAAGACACTTCTTTCCCTAGTGGTATAATTACAGCACTTATCACTGACTGGTTGAACCAAGCAGTTTTACTAGCTACACCAAGATTCCCACACTTGGAATGCAAGAAAGATACTCCATTCTCTTTTGTCTAATAAGGATGAGATCCTACAAAAGACTTGCCTTTAGAGGAGGTATTAACAAGGTGTTCCCTTTTCACCCAGTTACTGACTTTCACAGAAGTAATAGGAAAAAAGGAAATTAATTTTTCCACTCCTTTTTGTCAAAATTAATTAGAGTATTTCTAAAAAGGGACTACCTGAGCCACAGTGTGAACACAAAAGCCAAAAAACAGGACAATTACTTCATGTGAAATGTCAGAATTATCTATTATTTCTGGCCATTGCTTCTTAGAGAACATTGCTAAGAACAAACCTGAAGTTTATGCAACAATGACATCAAAAACATGACTGTATCTGGTCTGCTTGGAGAATTTTGAACTTTTTCCTTTTCCTCTCTCAACCACAAATAAATCTCTAGTCAGAAAATACTTCACGTGACATCTACAACTTCTTTGGACAAGCTGTGGCAGTGCCTCAGCACCCTCACAGTGAAGAATTTCTTTCTAATATCTAATTTAGAACCTACTCTCAGTTTAAGTGTTGATAGGTAAGTAATTTAGGGCACCTGGATGAGATGAGAAAGAAAAGGTGATAGCTTAGCTTACTACCTGCAATTATGACTGAAAAAAAAGGTGCTGTGGCACTTGCAGAGATGAGCTGTCTGTATGGTGGGACTGGCATGGGAAGGGGCCAGAGCACCGAGGTGTGTGTTGGCCCACTGCAGCTGGCTGGGGTGACATTGTCTTTTCTAGATGGCTAATGAAAAACAAAAGTCTGGAATTTCTTGGCAGCCTTGGAGGGATGTTCTGGCCCCCTAAAGCTCTGGGTACACACCAGGACTCCCAGCCTGCTGTAGCATCAGCTGAGGTTTAGGTTTCTTGTTCAGGGCTCAGGGAGTGGACACTGAACATATAACATATCCTTCCTTCTGAAAACCTCTCCATCATACAGATCCCATTAATCTGTGTTGAAAAACAGAAACACAGAATTGCAAAACTGATGATTTGGGGTCTGATTTTTTTTTTTTTTTTAATTAAAAGGAAAATAATAATCATAGCATGTATTGTACAAAAAGCCAGGGAGGATGCAGCTACAGTAGTCACGGGTCTGCCCTCCACATCTCTCTCTCTTGTGGAGTAGATTTTTAAGTCCAGAGTCGGAGAGAGAAATAGGTGCTTAACACCTACTTAGAGCACTTCAATTCCTCCTTTGAACTTGCCGGGGCACAAGGAGTCCCCTTGTCCCAGCACTGCCTGGGGAGCCTGTGCTAGAGCTCAGCTGGGACCTGGGACAATGCAGCCCCTGTTCTGGGCCCGGCTGTCGCACAGAGACTATAATTATCTCTCTTCTAATGACCAGCCAGGCAAGATAACAGTTTTCACGCTATGTTTAGAAAACAATGTCTTACTACAAATTGACGGTTCATTTGTCTGTAAAAGAACCTCTCCAACAGTCCTAAAGCAGCTGCCACTCTTTTGCATCCCAGTTCGTTTATTTGCTGCACATTTCCCTCTTGGAAAACTGGGTAAATGCTGCACAGGCAGCACAGCTTCTCGCTGCAACACAAGAGGCTCAGAAAGGCACAGAAATGCCCAGAAAATCTGTAGGTGTTTAGATTGCATCTCTGTTAGTAAATTAAGCGCTGTCTTTCTTGCCAGAGCCTGAATCCCCCTTGTGAACTCTCTAAGCCCCCAGCCCAAAGGGGCTGCAGGCACCGCTGTGAGCGCGACGCAGGGCAGGAGTAAAACTGCTTTGTGCTGACTCGTGATAATGCCCTGTGGATAGCAAGCTGATGCACAGAGAGGGATGTGAAGGGACTTGTTCAGATAAAACGGGAGCATGTATTACTGATTAACTTTTTCTTCCAGCACTGTGGCCCACAGACAAGTCAGGATCTACTGAAATCCTGTAGGCTCCAAAGGCATCTATGGGGTAGCTGTAGTGCCCAGCTGTGATTGCAGCCTGTGTGGGTAAAGCTGCCCCTTGCAAACAAACACCGGGAGGTGCCAGGTTTGGGCAGTCCTGGCAGCATGGCGTTCATGGGCTAGCTACCTAAGTATTTACTCTGGGATCTGCAAACATTTGGTACCTAACTGTGTTCTGGGGCAGCTCTACATTTAGTGGTGTCTGAGGGCTGCCACCACATCCTCTGCAGGTGCCCTGCCAGCAGAGAACAGTGCCCATTCCCTCTTTCTGCATCCAGCTCACCCTCATCTCTCTTGCCATCTTCTCTAGTCTCCTCTGCAGCAGGACATGGCTGGGTCACCTCTTTGGGCTCATTTTTTAGTGACTGAGGCCCTGGAAAAAAAAAAAAAAAACCACAACAAAGTTTTGATCAGAAATAAAATTTCCCAGTGGCTTGGAAGCATCAATATTTCTCATTCAAATTCGTTTGAATTAAAAAATAATAATAAAAAATAACACCATCTGCAGCTTTTTCCTTCCCTTTTTAAGCAGAACACACAAATTTATATCTCATATTACAAACTGGAAACACATTTACATTTGGAAGAGTATTTTTAACCATCTCTTGTTCATTCAAATTATCTAGGTTTAAGCAGTTCTTAACATCATTGCTGTAAGTGGCTGACCTGACTTTCTAGCACCTATAAAGTCCATCCCATCTTTGCTTTATCTCCAGAACTTCAGAGTGCATTAAGAGGTCAGTGGCACATTAAGAACAAAATCTGTGTCAGTTATCCTTAATGTGTCTCATTCTACAGAACATCCCATAGACATTCTAGAATGCAGAAATTACATTCAGCTTGCCTTTGCAAACTGTTACTCAGCCTATCACCTTATAAAATATCTTTGCAAATGTAACACATGTAACACAGCAGCCAACAGTCCTTCAGCTGGCAGCTTGTTTCATATGAAAAAAAGCACATAATTGCTCAAAATTTTTGGGAAAATTCTGAATGTTCTTATGTAGCTTCATGCAGTCCTTTAATGTCCCCACCAGGATGATCTGGGGATTTCCAACACGTTCAGGCTTGTACACAAAACTGTGGAAATTTTTACTTCTCAAAATTACGCATTTGCTGGGAAGTTTGGACATGGCCATGTCTGTGCCTCTCGAGCTCCATGCCAGGTTCCTTTAGGGACTCAGAAGGCTCCATTCTTTTTTGTTCCCCCCAAATACATCATTTACCCTTCAGCCCATAGAACAGGGGTGAGACAGAGGAAAGCTGGCAGCAGGGCTGTGTATTCTGGCTGTGGACAACTTCAGTGAATCAGAGCTACAAAAGGGTAAGGATTCCCTGACTTCAGGGGTATTTTCACAGCTGCCAGCCAGCTGAGCATGATGGGAGCCCATCCTTCTCACCTCCTTTGCAATGCATCTTCAACACTTGAAAATTTTGTTCTTCTGGGTTTGGTTGAAGAAGGTTTAGGACATGAAGCACAGGAAGAAAGAAGCTGCTTGGAAATGAGGCTACATGAGAAGGAGTGTCCTTCCCATGATGATGAGTGGGGTGAGAGGTTAGAGAACTTTAGAGTATTTCCCATGGAGCAATTTGGTACAAATGTTACAAGGGCAAATACTGGCATCACATAAGTCAGAAAAGCCTACTTGTGCCCTGTTTTGGAGAAAGCCTTTCCACCAAATTGCATCTCAAAATATGTGGTAATTTGGGACAGTCTTCCGTGGTCTACATCTTCTTATTGGTGAAATCTGTATGTAGAAAAAAATACATAGGTTAGGCAACAATTAGATTTTAAGTAGAAGCTCTTATGGTAATCTCCTAAAGCCGAAGTTCAAAATTCCTGAGCACGAAATAGATTGTGCAATGTTGAGGACTGCAGGCTTAGTTTGTTTTCAAAACAAAACACCACAAATTACTAGTTCCTGTTCCCAGTCCATGTGGTTTCCCTTTTTGATCTCAGTCTCAGAAACAATCCTGAGATCATCTCTATTCAAAACCAGCAGGTTTTAACATATTCTAATATGCAAAATTAGTAAAACAGTGTTAGTTTGGTTCTGAGACACATTTCTCAGCAATTTCTGGCTGCACCTACGTTGTCACAGTATCCAGGACTAGGCTCTGAAGGCCACTTTCTCTGCCACCATGTTTTCTAGCTCTTCCCCTCCAAGGCACTCAGATACTTAGGAATGTAGTTTTGGAGGTTTAGCTATTCCTCACGCTGCCCACATGACCCATATGTTAGAGACCACTCCTGCCAGTTGCCGAGGGCTGCCAACACATGTGCCATAAGGCTGCACAGCTTGGTGCTCACTGTGTCATGTCTCTCACCAGCACCTCTACCAACAGCATGTCTCCAGGAAACCAGCACTACCTGTAATAGCCTCATTTATAATGTTGGCACTCATTCAAATCCATAGCTTGCTTTCCTCCCAAAAGCAGTGTGGAGCCCCAAGATGTCTTCTTCAGTCACTAACAAATGGAAACATTACTCACGGGTCCACGGTTTTCAAACAGCCTTGTCAGGTGAGAGACTCCAGCCTGAGTGCACCTGTTGGGTTGCAGGTAGGCTGCAGACCAGCACCAGCTGGGGGGAATACCACTGGAAGAGTCTGTAGCAAAGCCAACAGCAATGACCACTGGCTGGGGAGGGTCATGGGCAGGGAGGCCATGGTGGCCATGCAGAATGTGCTGCGATGTGGGGTCAAGCATCCTGGCCCTCAGCAGCTGACTCTGCAAGGAGGCAAGCAATTTGGAGTCCCACCAAAGCAGAGGTAGAAGGTGACTGAGTGGCAGAAGGTGGTTTGGGGGTGTTTTCTGATTTGCCTTTGCTAGCAACCTCCCCTGTAGCAGAGGTTAGTTTTTTTCTGAACTAAAGGTATCAGAAAGATATTTAACTAAGAAGGCTTGGGGAAAACATTTCCAAATAGAAGTAATGCAGTTAGGAAGAAATAATATCTTTTGAAAAGTACAAAATATATAAGGGAAAATGTTATGCAGTGCAAGGAGCATGAGACTATTGTTTTTAAGAGGTTGCAAAATTGAAACTAATTTCTTAACTTCAGTTTACTGGTTTCCACAACAGAAGTGGATTTCAGCTTAGCTTTTCAAAATGCTCTCTACAGCATTCCCATGTTTCCTGATGTGCTGAAGACTTTTTGTGAAAGATGCTTCCTTGATCAAGTTGTCATCACTAGACAAATAAATTTCATTTCATTACTAGACAAATAAATTACTAGACAAATAAATTTCACCACTTCCTGCCTTACTTCAAACAAGTGCCACATGCCAGGGTAGTTCCACTTTTTTTTTTTTTTTTTTTTTTTTTTTTTTTTATTACAGATGTTTTCTGAATCCTTATCCAGGCAGTCCATGGCTTTGGCATGGGACATCTCTAGCAATACAAACTGCAGGAGACACTGAATGGATAAGACTTTTCTGTGAGCTGTTGTTTAAATTTACTAGCATGCCTAAGGATGAGTTTGGCTTTTGATCTAGACATGCAAATCACTTTAATAGCAAAGAGTTATGTGTAGCTTTAAGCAGAGAGTAAACATCCTAAATTTTCTCTAAATTTCTGCTTCTAAGTTTCTACCTAAAAAAAAAATGTTGTTTTGTTTGAACATGCTACAGAAATTCCAAAACCAATCCCGGGGTTATGTGTAGTTTTTCAGTGCCTTTAACAGACATTCTTTGCTTTTAGACTAAACAAGTACCTTTAGGGGAATTCTGACACATGACACTAATTCTTAGTTTGCAGGCAGCACAATAGCATGGTTACTCAGCACTCTTTATTGTGCATCCAATCTGAGAAACCATGTACTGCAATTTAAAAAGTCACTTTGACTTGTTCAAACAATTTGTTGAAAATGGAAAATGGCACATTTTCTGGAAAAAAAAAAGAAAAGAAAGAAATGTGGCCACAATCTCATGCTACAAAGTTAGCACAGCCCTCTGGCACTGCTGAATTGCAAGTACTTTCCACTGCTTTCTATTTTTTGGGAAAATGGCAGTGCCAGAGATTGATGGCACCTGGCTGGGGTCTGTAGGATGTTAAGCAGAAGTAGTAGTAAAATTAGAAAAGTAGAAAAAGTTTGCCTGAGAGTGGGGGGGAAGATATATGATAAGACAAAAGCAATGGTGTGGAGGAGAACAGAGGGAGGAAGTTTTCTGGACAGGGATTCACAGGTTTAAGCTAACAGCAATTCCCAATGAGGCATGAAAGCCGTGCATCAAAATGAAAAATTAATGCATAATACATTAACAGAAACCAAGAAAGTATATTGTAATGGCCCCCAACGAAACCATCATCCAGATAGTCCAAATTCTATTTTCTATGTGGGTGGGTGACATATTCTAAATGTATCTCTTCCTTTGCTGGAAAGGGCAGGTCAGACCAACATAATTGATGGTTTTCTTGCTGAGACAGATGAAAATGTATAATCATTGCAGTTTTATTTAAGTTCTGAGAAAGGTCTGGCAAGTTAAATCACACTGTAGTCTTAAATAAATTACTTTCTTCTGAAAGAGCTCTGCAGAAAGCAGAGAAGTCATCATCACTGTTACTTCAACCTTATGTTTTTATTTCAGGGCATTGCATGAACACAAAATGAGTAGTGCAGGGCTGCTTGTTTCTATTTGTCTCTAAATTTCTGGGTATATCATCACTTCATCATACCTACTGAATGAGAGTTATTTTGGACTAAATCCCTCTTGCCAACCTGCATATAAACATTTCTTCAATCACCTCAGAAAAAAATTAGTCCTGTGCCCAAGATGCAACTTAGGTAGAATTTAGACATCTGAATCCACCCATACCTCACTTCAATGACTTGAGAGTGACTTGACAGGTACCCTGCAAGAGGTATTGGCTACCAGCAGTCCCCACAGCCCTCTTGTGAGTCAGGAACCTCACAGAGCAGAGCAGGCATCATTTAAAATGATATGTGGCAACCACGACAATCAAAGTACTGTAATTAGAAGCAAGTAATGAGAACCCTTAATCATGGGTAAATGTCCATGGCCTCAGAGAGTTTGCAGCCATGTTTTCTTCATCACGAAAGAAGTCCCCCATCATCAGACTCAGGGGCACAAAAGGTTGGAAGGCCCCAGTTTTCTGCAACAAAGAAGAACCCCTGTGCAACCAGGAATGACAAACGTGGGGTCAGAAAGAAAGAAAGCGAGGAGGGGACTGGCTTGCCACTTGTCTGGGAGGAGAGCCAGAGTCTCTCTGCCTCCTCTTCCCCACCTGAATGTGCAAGCCATGGGGCTGCAGCAAGGAGTGGCTGCCCTGGAGGTGGGACCCACATGGCCATGGAACACATCTGGCAAAGGGGCTGTGGCTACTGAGTCTTAGGAGGTAAAGGAGTATGGTAACACAAAGACTCTTCAAGGGAAAAGCACGAGCTGTCCCCGGGCCCAGAGACTCCTTTAAGGGTGGTTCCCTTGTTCCTTTTGCTAAAACACGAGCGCTGAATGTGTGACACATGATACTTCTTACAACCCCTCCACCACAAGGGAAAGACTTGCAGCCACAGAAGCCTGTGTTTCCCTGTCAGCTTTCTGAGACACTGGGTAATTGAGTGTACTACAGTGCTCTGAAGCTCAGCTCTGCTTCCAGGAAGCATTTTTGGGTTCTTTCATATATGAAAGAAAACAGGTGAGCATTCACTCATATTTTTTATAGCAGCAGAAGATGAAGTCTATGATATTTTTTAATTCTTGGATGCATATATTCTATTTCAGACCACACAAAGAGTAAAGTCTATCCTCCCATGCAGACAAGCTCACCTCACAAAATAGTACCTTGGATCTTACATTTTGTGGCCTGGTCTGGTATACCTACAGGTCAAGTCCAAGCCTCTGAAATGGACCATACCTATCAATTCAAACTTTCTGTCTCAGAAAAACTCAGCACCTCCAGATTTTAAAAAGACAGCCACTTAGATGCTTTTCTTATGTACAGACTTTCAGAACAACACAGTGCACTGAGGGTACGTTTCTTCATCCCTCTGGCAAGGGGGTGAAACTAAATCACACATGGCAAGGGCTAGTCATATTACCTAGTGTGCTCCAAAACCAACAGTTCTTGCACTGCCAAGCAAGGTACAATAACATGGGCACAGAGTATGAGCATTAAACAAATAAAGGGTTAAACAATAATAAAAATAAAATCAATTTAGAAAAAAAAAAACTAAAATGTTTTCCTCTAGAAGAAGATGATCAGCTCTTGTTTATCCAAATCAGTTTACTCACCCCTACACCAAGCCCACTTGATTTTCCCATAAAGGGCACATATTTAATGCAACCCACAGTGCTTAGAGATCATGCTGTTAACTGCATGCTACTTGCTCAAACAGCTTTCAAACAAAGTCCACTTCTGGTTTTTTTTATGGTGCCAGTGTTGCTGAGACATTAGAACCCCTTGAAAAGGGGAACAATGGCACACACTATTGTGGTACAAAGAGAGTACATAAATTAATTTCTGTGGCACAGGAGATTACAGGAGATAAACTGCTTACTCCTGCAGAGGCAAAGCACATGGCACTAGCAAAGAATTTCAGCTTGCATGTGGAATGGACAGCACTGCCTGACACCAAAAATCAAGGACTTAAAATCTGCACTTCCTCCAGAAAATGTTACAGTTTGCCATACAGTGACAGTTTATGTGCATTTAAACCATCTGTTGGTTTGTAGTATGTAGCAGCTCTCAAATCTTTATAAAAGTCAAGTCGCTAATAAAAGGTCAGCA